TCTCTATTGATAATTGTAACTTTGTTGGGATACCCTGAAATAAAGGCCAGGCTAATTTTGTGTCATTTTCGGCAGTCTCTGCAGCTGTCCGTCATGATTAGACAATAACTAGTTGTTTCAGTGTCCCCCACTCTGACCAATTCCACGTGGTATTCCCTCAAAGACAGGATTAATCAGAATCTTTGGTTGTCAGTTTTTACCAGATTTTATTAGAAGTGGATTAATATGAAACAATGGCACCAGAGAACAAAAACTCACTCTCCTTTGACCAATAATTTCATGATGTGTCTTTAGTAAAAGTTTGTAAATGGAGATTGGTTTAAAATATTTTGAGTCAATAAAAACTAGAGGTACTCACAAAGTTCCACTAAATTAGTTGCTCGATCTCACATAATGATACACCTGCTTCCATAAAAATATAATGGAAATATCCCTGCTTCTATAAAAGTATAAATGCAAGTCCATTTTATGCTTTGGGAAAGTAAGATATCATCATTGTACGATCAAAAAGTAAAATAGGTGGTGCACAATGGCACTGTGTACTGAAGATTCTGTGAAAGTATCTCTAAAATTTGTTCAGATGGGGTTGCAGATAAGGACTATATGGGAATATTGGTATTTTCCAAATCCAGTTAATAGAAACCAGAAGAAACCAGACAATGGATCTGAGAGACCAGTCTCAGACCCACATCCCCACAATGGAATTTGAACCCAAGATGTGAAGATAAACTCCTTACTCTGCAGTTCTATAGAGCAAACGACCTAACCACTGTGGAACTCAGGCAAGTTTTTGGTGATCTGATGACAATGAATAAATATTTTTCTAATCAAACGTTAAATTTTGAATGTCAAAAAAAAAAAAAAAGAAAGGAAAAAGAAAAAAATCTACGTCACTGAAGCTTCAATTCAATTAAAGCTATTATAAGATATAACTTTGAGAAACTCTAAGGCACAGGAAAGTTAATTTAAAACAGACAGGACTTTCAGGCTACTAATTAACAATCTTTTTTTCACTCATAAAAATTTGTTGATTTTTTTCAATATTTGTTTTCTATTTCTGGTTAATTAAGTGGCGACCATTTTACGGTGTGCTTTAATTATATTTCCCAACTCTGACCACTTACAGAATCCCTAATTACAGCAGAACTTGAAAGAGTCTTCCTTCTGACACCCAGCAGAGAATTTTTTTTCTAAAATGATGAAAAAAATTCAAACCAAGTGCAATACGAAATCACACATAGATAATAGTGACAGGTTGCACATGTGAGAGCGTTTGAAATGCAAACAGGACTGGCGCCATGGTGCCATTACAGTCTGTTTTTTGTTTAAGTTGATGAAGGATTACATAGACAGAAGAGTTCCCCAGCTCTTCCCAATATCAGCTGCTCACTATGCATCTAAAGAAATGGAAAAACTATTTATCTGCTTCCGAGTTTATGCTCCATGTAGCATTCCCTGATAAATGTTGTGTCAATGTGATAACCACATTGGCAACTTGGTTTAGAAATCAACTCAAATGAAAAAGGCCCCAAGAACATTCCTCTAACATATACATTGTATACATGTATAAACTATTTATTTCAACAATTTAGTCCTCTTAATAAACAACATAACATCATCATAAACCCCCCACCCCCCAGAAATCTTTAATGGGAATCAAATCAACCTTTCCAATGAAATAATGACATATTTTTTACAAGAAGTACTTATTTGTTCAAACAATATATATTGCTCATTTGCAGATCAAACCTTATTCAAATGGTCTTGACCTTTGACATACAGCTTTATAGGGAATCTCTGTGCATTGCTTCCTTCTGACTAACAACTACTTTACATAATGACTTACAAATGTTAGTCTCTGCTACTTTCTGGATAAGACTGTTAAGAATGCAGTGTCTCAATCCTGAACTTGTTAAGTAACAGCCACAATAATTTAAGACAGCTGGGGCGGGGAACCAGGAAAAGGACAACACTACCTTAAGCTTGGGAGTTTTTGTCAATCCATCATTATTAACTCATCCCAGAGATGTAAGAGATGATAATAATCCATAACACAAGCAATGACAATAAATACTGGAAACATGTTTACAATTAGCCAGAATAACATACAAGTGTGACTTCAATGTTCTCAAAAGACTGGTGGCTGACAATGCCCGAGTCATCTACATGAATCTCCTACTATCAGATGTGGGGTCAACATAAAATGATAGTGAGACACCTCTTCCTTAAACCACCATTAACCCTATAACAATCAACTTTTTATAGTAAATTAATTTTTTATCACTACAATAGACAAGAATGTGGCAGTTCAGAGGACATCACTCGAGAGGAGACAAAAGGAATCCCTGAGCAAGTGAGCTGCCAACAGTAAAGTCAATGTCATTAAATTTCCAGTTCTACTAGTAAAATATATGGAGATAATGAACAGTAATCAGGCTCAAAAGTCCATTAAACAATACAAAACAGGAGCAGAGCAAACACAGACCTCCAAAACATCAGAGGTGGGATCAGGTACCATGGAGGAGTGAGAATCCCCTGTCAACCATCACACCTGCTATGTGCTCCTTGTCATGATAGGGAAATAATGGGAAAAAAAACCTGTCCTTAATTCAGTGTGTATATAATGGCTAATAATTAGCATGAAAAACGTCAGTCTTCATTTGACTCATTTTGTATTTGCTGACAAGGTCATTGTATCGACCATACAGAACTTACAAAATGATGACTCAGTATCATATCAATCAGTTTTGAACCTCTTAAACAGTGCATTAGTGAGTTACAGTATACTGATGATCAATACTGCACCCACCACCCCACCCTTAACAGCTATTATATTAAGGCCTTATATAACTATTAAAATATGAAATTGAATGTAACCTAACTGCTTTTTATTAGGATAATGGATACAGATTTTGTAAGATAAAAATTAATTTGTTAATGACATAAAATATAAAAGTTGGCTGTATAAATAACAGCCTCATTAGTATAGCTTACATAAAAAATCAATTCTTATTTATTAGAAAAAGTTTAATTAAAAATTTTATTGAAATTGCAAATTCAAGTGCCAGGTTTTTGTAAAAATATTTCCTGGCTTTTTTAAGTATGATAAAAATAATAGCTCATCATTAATTTTTATTAAGCAACAATTAAGAATTAATTTCATCTTAATAATTCAAAACTGAAATCTTCTAATATAAAATAATATCGAGCTGCAGATTTCTTTCTATTAGTATAAAGAAATAAACTATTCTTATGACTGAATATTACCATATACTGAAAGTTAACAAGAACTATACATCTGAAAAGTACATGTACTTTAACTTGCCTGGTACGCTGTGAATGATACCCCTGAGTCATAGAGAATGTGGGTAGTGAGTACTGGGGGGAGGTCTAGTGAGTACCGACACCTTGTCTATATCAGTGTCAGAGACCACAGACCTATAGCTGTCACTATCACACATACCAACGCACAAACAACAGTCAACCCTTATACAATCTTCCTGCCCATGCAAATTATCATAAAATCTATAGTGTTAAGGATTTGACAGTGCTTGCTTCACTATTCTCACACTTCCTATTTTGTTTTTAGAACAAAACGTTAATTTCAAACTGCTTTCAAAATCTCTAAGAATAAGAGATCTCTATAATTACATTGAAGTAATTTGGACAGGTCTTCAGGATTGGCTCAGAGACAGCATGTTGATGATTTTATTCTCTGAATCATATTTTTGTCAGGCCGGGAATACAGGAATCATTAATGTTTTATCCCTGATTAGTGCAATCAATAGATGTATGATTACAATTTTAATGACTTTTATAATAACTTATGACCTTGATGTTCAGGTGGCAAATATCAAATTTGGAGAAATAAAATACATTATTAATATCTCCCCATCCCTTGTTTTCTTTATCCTCAGCCATACAAAGAAGAAATCCCCACGATAATAAATTAATGATACATACTTATGGACGAGGATGAATTGATCAGGAGGTTTAATTTTTAAAACAAATGATGCTGGCCTAGCACCTGCCTCCCTGGTAGTTCATCAATAGAACAATATGAGGGGGACTCCGCCAGATAGCTATATTATTGATAAAGCCAGGGATCTGAACCACCTGCTAAATCCAGAGAGAGGCTGCTCTCGTTTTAACTGTCCTCTCCCATTATCTTAACTCGGCCTCAGACACTGAACATATTGCTCAAAAAACACCACAACATATAACTCATAAGATCATAGGAATGCACCTCTTTAATTTTTTTCCCATTCTATATAATTGTTGGGATTTTTTTATGCATATGTTTTCAATGAAAATGCCAGAAGTGGAAATTTTTGAACAATTTCACACAACAGTCATTCTCAACTTAAATTACATGTTTTTTAGCATCTAAAAGAAAAAAAAAAGAGGCCAAATGTGAAACAGTGCAGATGAGTGCCAGCTCTTTATAAGATAAATTAAATAGGGCTGGGTATTGGCCCGAGATTTCGTATTGCGATATATTGCGATATTTTAAACTGTATTGCGATACATATTGCAATATTTTCAATGTAATAAAAATGGCATTTTCTTACTATATTCATTTTAATTTACATGCAGAATGTACATAACTATGATAAGTAACCAACACGAAAAAAAAATCTTGTTGATTTCCTTTAAGTTATGCTCTGAAATGTTCACCCAAAACAACTTCTGACTTACTGTTTGGCTTAATAACAAACTTTCGTAGGTCCATTTTTATATTTAATGACAAAATTCCTTAATCTAAGTATATTGCCAATATATCGATATTACAAAATCGTATTGCGATACGATATTTTTTGTCATTGTATTGCAATATATTGAAATATCGATATTATTGCCCAGCCCTACCATTTAAATAAGACCCATAATAAATCATAGACTTGATAATCGAAGATGATCAATATATTTCATATTGACTAGATAATCAAACAGAATCTAACCTGAAATAATTGTCTTCAACAACATTATACTACACAAAAAAGTGTCAGTCAGTCAGGGGAAAGTAACTCCTGTCACCAAGGGGAGGTAAGCCATCATCAGGGGAATCCCCACATCAGAACAATAAAGAATACAAGGAACAATTTTCAGACTCATCAATCAAAGTTTCCGGAAGAGTGTTCAAAAGATGGCTACAAGTTTCCTGCTACAAAATTCCTGTAGGAAATTAGTCACATTTCCTGAGTGGCTAGCGGGAGATAAGGTTGTCCAGTGTGTTCAGTAACACATGTGGGAAATCCTGCACATGTTTTTACCAGACATGCAATCTTGTAGGTGGCATGTAAGTCAACGACCTTGACATTACAATACTGTTATATATTTGGACATATTTTTATTTATTATTTACTATTTTATTTGCTATAGACAGTGAGATGCTCCTACCCACCAACTTCAATGCAATTCAGGTTTACCTTTCACGATCTCAGGTATCTTCTTGCTTTCTCTTGACCTTATATAACTGTGTGAAATAAAACGAAATCGATCGAATTTTAAAAAATAAGAAATTCAGTATTTCTTTTCAAAGTTATATTCTATGTATATATATTGTCTCAGACTTCTTATTTGGAATTTCTTGAAGTTGAAGAAATTTTTTTTCCAAAATCAACAAAAAATGCCAATAAAAGCTTGCACTGAAATCTTTGTAAAAGGTAGGGTGAGACTTTGATCTCCTGTCTGGTGTATTGTGACAACATATGGTATGTTTCCTAATTGATTTGAAGGTTTTTAATATTCCGTCAGCACTCGAGTGGCCGTGTTATTAGACTGTAGGGGAACGAGAGCCAGGTCATCTGTCACAAAATCTGCTGTCATTATGTCATCAATCTGTTCATTAATTAATTATCAATAAAAAATAAAACAGCATCATGTTCTGTCTTCTTCAACTTTCTTTTTTCATTAATAAATCTAATGAATTAACATTAAATCTTGTAAAATTAGTGTTACATGAACCATTAAGGTGTGAAAAAATATGATATGACTTCCTCTATGATGTCTGATTTGTGAAAATTAAAAATCAAATTTACATATTTTGAATTATTTAAAAAAAGAAAACATAGACTTCAACTTGGTTTAGCTCTAAACATGAAAAAGTTTTTTTTTTTTCAATTTATTTCCTTACAAACCAAAAAATAAAAATTCACAGAAAAGATAAATGTTATGTTTAATGCTCTTTTTTTAAAACTCATTACCCTTTCCCTTTAATGTGATTGCAAGGAAATATCAATGATGGTTAAAAAAACCCATCAGAGTGATGCCTGGTCGCAGGAGTTGACATTAACAGTATTGCCCTAGACCTGGCTGGGGACCTCCCGATGACTGGTAAATCAGCAGCAGCCTCATCCATTATAGACCAGTGACATGTGCACATCACAACCCCTGGGGACCGTGGCGACACAAAACATAACCCGACCCTTCTGACAGATATCTAATTTATTCATGATTATGCAGCATTGTCAAGAAGCAAAAAAAGACAGTTTTTATGTATCAAAGATCATTCAAACTTTGGCTGGTAATTTTTTTTAACATCAGCTCATGAGCTGCTATAAGCAGTGTTGTATGGTGTTATAAATCAGGGCCGAAGTGTTACTGGGTGTTAAGACCTTTCAAATCAGGGCCAAAGAGTGACACTTAGTTTATGACAATCATAATGGTGATCTAAATCAGGGCCAAAGGGTTAGCAATTGTATGGTGTTCTCATTCAGATTTAGGTGTACTGGGTTTCAGAACAGTATAGTGAGCTTTATATTGGGGCAAACATTTTTGAGAAGGTAATAGGGCTACAGTGAAATCATCTGCTTGCTTTAGTTTACATGCATATTCTTTCTCATTCTATTCTGCCAACTTTTCTAGACTTATTGGAACATTTTATATCTTTAGACTGAATGCTCACTAACATCTTTTTTTAATCTAAATTGCCAGGCTATTATATCTTGAACTGACAACAGATTGATCTGCTTACCCAATTAAGATAATTAATAGGTTCACAGTGAATGGGACTGGTTGACAGGGGATGCTTACTCCTCCATGGCACCTGATCCCATCTCTGAAGTTTTAATGATCCATGTCTGCTCTACTCTCAATTTACTATAGTTTCAATTATTTACTTGATTTATAGTAGTTAACTACATATATTATGACATTGTCTGTCAATCAATATTTCATGCATTACATAAAGTTTCTGGTGAGAAATATTATTTCATTTATTTAATTATGCTAAGATTTCTTTGTTACCCAAATTATTTAACCAAATGTTCCAGAATATACCTTCTACTCCTTATCAATTTAAAACACATCTAAAATATGTTGTGTATGTAAAAAGATGAAGAACAGAGAAATTTACAGAAACAATAAGTTTTACCATGTACCTTTTCCATATTTCTATGGGGGGCACCTGTTATTGTTCTAAATAGAAAGCAAAAATGAACTTGCCAACAATAAGAAGCTCTTGTGGATAATGAATTTCAATAGTGCCCATATGGTACTATTGTAATTTACACTGAATCAGTTTCTAAGCAATTGCTTCCTGACAAACTTGTAAGGGTCCATTTCTCAGAATTAGACCCAGATTTTAAGTGCTGCAAATCTTAAAGCCATATGGCCTTTTTATTCCTAGTTTTACACCAACTAATGATACACAATATTTCAAAAACCGAAACAACAACTTCATAATGATAAAATTTTATTATCTTCAAAGAGTTTTCTTTTTCACTGAAGTACCATTATCTAAATATTGAACAAATTTTAACACCAAGTATTCTCCATGTATACTCATATTGAAGTGAAAATCGGAATTTGTATCCTATTTTAAGGACAATATGGGGGAAGAAATTCTGTGGAATTCATAAAAAATGGGGATTGTTTTACCGGGTATATAAGTTTTTGTGGCAGGTAGGTGGGGTGGGCTAGGGGTGAGGGGCCTCTCTTTCATTTAATCAAATATATTTCCCCAATTAAGACATAGGTCAACATCTGGTAGATTCTAAGCCTATTTATATATAGACAAGTAAACTTACTGTACCAAAGAGCATAATCCCTGTTATAGTAATTTGTTAATCAATGGTCTAAGTTGTCTAAGTGGCCATAACTCTCCACAAAAGGTCAACTCAAAATGGTTTCCCTTGTATGTTTAGTTCATTGGGAAAAATTTAGCAGAAGGAGAAACAATTAAGTGAATTAATGCCTATAGCAAGAACCTAATAAGGTATGTTAATAAAACATTAATTCATTGTTAGTCCTTTGTTTTTATCATAAAAGTGAAAATGATGGGGTGGGTGGGGAGTGTCATTAATACAGTTATCTTAAACCTCAATAGAGGGGGAAAAAAGCAGGTTTGACTGTCCTTCTACATACATTTTATTGTGAAGGTACCTGTCCATATTTTAGCTATTAATAATCAACACAACAAGTGTTTACAAAAGGCACTGACAATGGATGTGGTTTCCTGTTTCCCGGAAGGACTCCATACCAAGCCGGATCTGACAGGATGCACTTCCAAGGGGAGATAAGCACTCAGGAAGAACAGATTTAGGAAATTGTAACTACCTCAAAAAAGGATACAAATGATAGCATGCATTCACCACAAGTAAACAAACCAACAAAGGGGGCATTATACCAACACAAATCAAACTCTGTGTGATGAACATCACATGCATGCAGTCACATTGAAGGTTTGCATATATGAAACAGAAAAAAAACTACAATTCTTTTTTTAACTGTTTATAATTTCCGTAATTTAATTTAAGGAAATTATTTTTATTTTTTTTTTTAAACTTCACATTTATCATTATTGTCACATGTTCTTATTTTATGAAATACATGTATCATTTCTTGGTTTCAATTTTTCACCTACATGTTGCAAGGTTTAAAAATAGATAAGTATAAAATTATGTGGCAAAATAATCAAAGAGGCATATTATAGATAAATGTCTGTGCAATAAGTAACTGTCAAAAGTTTCTCTGTGGACATACTAATTTTTAGTGATATAAATAGATTTAAAATATATAAATATCATATATCTATTGCAAATTCTTGTCTGTTATCTATGACCATAATATACTACTATTCAGTTTTAACCATTTTCAGGCTCTAGGGATAATGAAAATTACTAGCGGAAAGCTGCCACTTCTTAGAAAGGTCTTTTCTGGGGCAACTGTCAACTCTCCATCAGATATCATGTGGGAATTAATAAATTGGCGCTGGATGGCTTTTCCTGTGCAATCTGAAAATGGTGCAACTGTTATGCATGTCAGCCCCTAGGCAGATCAATACAGCCTCCAATACCTCAGATATTCCAGGGAGAATTTTAAGAAAATTAGCATACATGTTAACTCTCCCGATTTAGGCGGGAGTCTACCGCTTTTTCACTCCATCTCCCGCCTACCGATTTAATTCAGAAATCTACCGCTTTTCTACAAAAGCTGCGTCTAAAGTATTTTTGGTCCGCTTGGGTATCCATTTTTGAAGCCACTCTCATAAAATCTCGCTAGATATCGCGTGATTTGACTCGGAATCATACAAACGCTTTTTTTGTACATAGATTTCAAGCACGGATTTGACAACGACAACAACATAAGACTACCAGTGATTACATTGGTTACGATAAATTAATCAACATCCCTGCCATGAAAAAGGAGATACAGCTTTTAAGAATTAGATGAAAACATTTGACATCGTCTTTAAAAGCACAGAAGCTCACAACTTTATTAATAAAGTCAATAGAAATCACTCTATTGACCAAGTCATGTGGCACATCTCTACTTTCGTTTTCGATCATCGCGGGAAATCTGATTTATATAACGAAAGATACGAACTTGTTTTAGATCTAGATTAAACCATGCCATAATTTGTTTTGTTTAAAAACTGAATGAACATTCAGAATTATCGCTTCTAGGCTATTTCAGCAAAGATCACTCTTCAAAAGGCTAAGTAAAGCAGCCAATCCAAGCAAAATGATGAGCATGAAAAATATTTGAATTTGTACAATTTATGTCAAACTTAAGGTGTTTCTGTCTTCTTCTTTGCTGTTGATATTTAAGATTAATTAGTGTAGGTACCTGATTTCATTTAAGGCTTATAATATACATGTATATTACATGAAAGATATCGATAATCCAAGCGTTAAACAACATGCGTGCAGTGCTACCGCTTTTGAGGTCTGAATCTCCCTCTTTTTCATCACAATAGGTTAACATGTATGAAATTAGACAGCAAGCCTGTCATATTGCAGGCAGGCCCTCCAATCTGGAGATTCCATCAGGGAGAGAATGAAATTAGAGAAATTAGGTCTGGACAGATGCACCATCTGGTCTACTGATAAAGTCATTCCACTAAACTCACCAAATCTCAGCCTTACTAGGAAATATAGGAAGTTATTCCAATCAAAGCATGGCCCCATCATGCAAGCAAATCAGGTTAAATTGTTCTCTCAATCAGGAAATTGCCATAGCAATCAGAGTTTCTAAAGGCCTTGGTAAATCATAAATACTCAACTGAATTTAAGCAAAAAAGATACATTGAGATAAATAATATATAACTGCCTTTTATGTTTTTATCCTCTTGAGATGTTCAGAGGTAGCCCTATAGATATGATTATTATTTATTTTCTTTAAAGACAAACTGTATTATTTGACATTTTATGTAGTTCTAAAGATTTGCATACATGGTCACACACTGGAAAATTCTGTGTCTGAATTACCCTTTTTTACTTTACCCATAACATATCGATTTATAATCTGTAAAATTAATTTTTATGTGTATTATACAATTGTTACATTTCCAAGAGAGAGAGAAAGAGAGAGAGAGAGAGAGAGAGATATTTAATACTGCATCAAAAAAGATCAAGTTCTATCAGTATGAGCATTTTTTTAAACTTTGAATTTAAGTATATTTAAGAACTTTTTTTTAAGAAGAAAGCTATACATTGTATACAAGTTTCAATGTTTCCATACTGTCAGTCATACTGCATTCAATACTCCCCTGTGAAGTATGACACTCCTTTGACAACTGAAAAGCTCAGTAAATCACCCTCCTGCCCGCTACCGCTGTGGGTCAACCACAGATTGGGGAGACCGTCAGTTACCGCTGATAGATCTATAATGTTTTAATAAGACACAAGCTGTTTACCCTAACACACTGTTATACTTATAACCATTGTGTGCAAATTACAGTTACCAGAATCAATGAGCCTCTTATTGAGGCCTGATTTTCTGTGTTTTATGGCCAAAGCTGACATCAAATGATAAATTGAAAATAGTGGAAGACATTTAAAGTCTTGAAATACGGGAATGAAAAAAGAAATAACTCCCGACACAGTGCAGATGATGGCTGGTCTGAAAACAATGCTGATTTCTGTATCATTTATCAATTTCCTTGTCAATTTCTGGTTAATCAGCCTAGCCAGGGACCCAGTGAAGGGAAACAGATGACAGTCAATTCCTATAGACGGGGCCATCTTGAACGTTTCACAACTCATTCTTCACCGGTCAAAACAACAGGCATCATTTAACTCCACTCTCCTGAAAATCACAGAAATTGTCTACCAGTCTAAATGGCCTTTATAACTGTATTTTTTTTTTTTTTTTGGAAATAGAGGTGAATTAAATAAGATAAAACATTTTGATACTATGAAGTAAAATTTATAATGCATAGAATGGTATATGTGTATGAAACAATCATTTCTATGAAATTTACAATCAGAATTACTAGTATCGATAATGCAACCAGGCATCAAAAATGTCTGGATAAAAATTCTTGCTAAAGATCTCAAAGAGAACTTCTTGGCTGCAGATTAACCCCAGAACAGTACAGTGCAATAATCTGTCATTATAATCATGCATCCAAGAAGTAAAAGCTGCCCGGAATCCCACCATCAAAACCAGTGTCATCTGGAATCCCTTAGGAAGTCTGGCAGTCGGCACCTTAGGCAGGACAATCACCCCCTCACTAGACCGTACCAGCCACTTACAGTGTTAGATAACGCACAGGTACCATAATAAAATAACTGTCACATCAGCATATCATACAATCTACTACCACTACTACAAAGAAATGCGACACAAATGTATTTAGTACTTTTGTGTGCTAGAAGTACATAGGCACAAAGCTTTAAATATAAACATGATTTTTAGCTGTTAACCTGGGATCAAATTTTGACACTATAAATAAGATAATTTAGACCGAATAAGAATGACATTTCTTACATGATGAAGTACTGAGTTTTAATAAACTTAAATGCTTCTTATATTAACAGTGGAAGTTATGATAAGGAGTTTTCCTTTACAATTAAATTGATTCTCAGTTTATTATTTTAGACCATCAAATGTCAAATTCTCACCAGTAATCAATAGATGAAAAGCCTAATTTTCTAAATTATGAAAATACCACTCCAAACAAATAGTTCTGTATTTTGAAATGTACGATGACATTGCCAGCCAATCAATATTCTGTTGGGGTTACATGTGATCCGAATTCTGAAGCTGCTTCCTTCCCAAGACTCCCCGCTTTTATCAATGTTCCCTGAGAAAATTACCATGCAAAAACAATGCCGAATATTTAAAACAAATATTTGGTGGGTCGAAAAATTTAGCATATTTTCTACTTGCAGATGTTGTTCCAATGTTCATTTCACAGATATGAAACTAATTTCCTATAAAAGGTAATCGTTAGTTTCCTTCTTATTGGCTATTCTAAACTTACTTTTCATGGAGATTGTTTTTCATATTTTTATTTTGTGAATTGATTAAAAATTTTAAGAATACTCAGAGTTAAGTTTGAGATTAATTCAAAGAGATATGGTATCAATGTTAGAAACTCAACATTTCCCTATCCATGCCAAAGTAAAACAAAAATCTTTGATGGAATGAAAGCTCTGTGCTTGTCTGAAGATTAGTCTGTTCCTATCTCACATTTATAATATTTGAAGATTTCAAAATTTTTTTTAATTTATCCCAGGAAAAACACAAAGTTCACAATGAAAATCATTAAAATCCTGCTTACGAAAAAGTATTTTTTTTTCACATAATATACCACACATAAGAAGTTAAATACTAAGACTTAAGAAGTAAATGAGTATAACAGATTATGAATTTATGGATATATTAAACAAAAGAATTTTACCAGCTCTCCCTTGTGAATACAATGTATCTCTTTACTGATTTACTGTTTAACATCTAATTTTGAAATTATAAGTATATGACCATAGTAACCTGGTCCTATGAACTTCAATTGTTCAAAACTCGGTGATCAAACAGAGTCATGCAGATAAAACAAGCAACATGGGTAACGTGATAACTGCAGTGACAACACTGGATATTGAAACATAAAATAAGAGTTCCTATGCAGTAATTTAACCTTTGCTTATACCCCTCGCCCGTCCCAATCGTCAGTGAATATATAGCCATATGTAAACTAAGTGCCTTCTTTCTCTGTAATGGGCCAAAAACGACAACAAGAGAATCTCACAGTACATGTATTACATTTTAGTGCATCTGCACGGAATGAGATCTTGACCATCTTGGTTCTCTGGAAAGAATTAAAAGTAGGATCAACAAGTGCACTGACCCTCGGAACATCTGTATTGTGTGATCCGTTGCCTCATTAGAGTTACCTTTAATCAGAATCTATTAATCAAGTCTTATGTAACTCGTATGATGACGTCTAGCATGCTGACCTTTCTGCTGTAAGATTCTGTATTAAGAAGTAAGTTATGGTACCTATCATACCTTACAAATGACTACCATATTTTAGGGATGTACACTAAATCACTACCAGTTACATGGGTAAGTCTGTGCATCATTACCTGTCATAGCCCACATTACAAATAAATAAATATACTATCCTGTCATATCAAATCTTATCATCTCCATGTTTTGTTCAAGTCCACACTGCATTTATATCAGAAATATTCTGCAATGTTTTCCCATTTTCAAACCGGACCAAAAAACAAACACACAGGCAAAGTGGAAACTGCAGTTATTGAAGCACTCAATAATTAATTCAATGTCATTCACAAACATGGATAAATTATCTCTTTTACATAGACAGTATTGCACAAAATTCCTACATCCACCTAATTCTACAATGGTACTTACCAATGACTGGTGAGGATTGGTCGAATGTCTGGTCTTCTCCTCTAAGTTTCCTTTGGAAAATCTCTGGACTTTTGTCTTTTTATAAAGGTTGCTATGAACTTCCAATGTGTTTGTTGCTGTGACTTTCCAATGTGTTTGTTACTGTGTTGCTTCTACAGATCTGCTGCTGCTGAAGATCCTGTTTGTCCCTGTGACAAAGAGTAGAGGGTAAATACAGTGATCTTCTAAGACTATAGGACTATAGTTAGGATGTGACCTTCATAGACTAAGGACCAGCTCAGTGGTTTAATTTGTACAGTACCACAGTTCTCTGCCCCTGTTAACAACCAAAGAAATCTCAACACAATGCAGGCTGTACAACCATACAATCTGGTTAAGCTAAGAAAACAGTTGTTTAAGAGGCAATCATAGCTTCAAATCCTTTGTAAAAACACCTTATGATTTGGGTATAAAGTAGCAGTGCTTCAGGTGGTCCTTACAAAAATCTGATCAAGGACAGATACAGTACAAACTAAATCAAAATTATCAATTAAAACACAAATTAATTGAGGGATAGTCAGAAATAATTAAATTTCTATTTAATGTTCATTGACACTCTCTATACATTTACACAACTGTGTTAAATACAACACAAACAAGTATTTATAGATGTGATTATGATCTACTGGACAATTGCTGACCAGGTAGATTAAATGTGTCAACTATCAAAATTCCTTAAAATCACATCAGAAGCCTAAGAAAGCAATGTTAGTTTTTCTTGACCAGGGGTCAATCTTTGATTACTGGATTAGGACCTTTACCTGAAGCTGTTTTCATTAGGATTTTTTCTACCATTGATATGTTGCATACTGAAATAATTCAAGAGTAATCCAAAGAATTTATTAGTCATTGATTTAATCAAATTTTGGGGTATTGTTATTGTATGTTCTTTGGGTAGAAAAAGCTTAAATCACAGGCACAGTTTATGTGGATTGCAAACTTTATTGCATGGAAAAGAGATAGAGAGACTTGTTCAATAAATTGTATACAATGCTTTTCAGTCTGTAATTCAGCCATATGCTAGCCTCTCCAGTTTTCACCAATACCTTTCAAACTAAAAAGCCAGAATCTCCACTGAAAAAGGGCAGCAAAGACAAATAGAAGTACTAATCTCCCGCTACGGAGTGTATTTTGGAACTCTGCGTACAAAGTCTGTTTTCCTAAGATCCCTCTGGAGTTGACTGTTTACAGAATCATTGGATTGGGGATATTGCAGGCCATTCTGAGTGCTAGTTAAGGTCTCATTTCCCTTGTGTTTCCATCACAGACAGCTGCTATAACATATGTCATAGGAATGACTTTTTAACTTGTTTACACTACATTGTCAAAATACAGAAAATATCAAAGGATAATTTTTTCCTTCTTATTCCAGTAATAACAATGCATATTAATATCTATGTTCACAACCAGAATAATGAGAGATTAGAAAATACATATAAGATAAAGCATACCTGGAGTAACTTAAGTCTGCCTGTTGTTTAAAATCTAGCTATCAGTTTATAATCCACGTATACAATGCAAGTAGAACAACTGTATAGCATTGCTACATTGTACCTTATGGTACCTTCCTTGACAATGCCATTTGTAGTATGTACACAGGTGAGCTATGCAGTCTGGCATGTCTGCTGCCTATGCTATACTGCCACCTTTTGACAGGCCTACCTATACACACATGTGAGCCTTACTACCTGGGACACTTTTGTGTTCTGTGGTTTAACAGACCTATCTATACATACAGGTTAGCCATATAGCCTGGCAGCCTACTGTTTCCTATGGTTTAACAGTGACACAGCTGCTAAGAGCAACATCTGCCTCCGTCAATGTTCTACCAGCAACACATGGCCCCCGTGACTGTGTGGCAATTACTTCAATTACTCGGGACTTTTCACAAAAAATGTATTTTTATCTACATAAAATAATAACTTGTGGACATTTATAAAGCCTTTCATTCCATGTATCTTAAATATCTCAAGTCAAGAGAAATACTTCAAAGTCTGAACTTAATTCATTGATTTATCAATGTAACCCCATACTGTTACCCCAATTTCGATTTCTTTAATGTGAAATTTTAATATCAATCTTTACATAATTTTTAACCCCCGTGATTCTGGTAGACATCTTTGGTGCCCGCCCTTACAGAGATTCTCGTTTCACTGACACAGAGGAGGACACCCCACACACACCACCCTCAGACCACTGACAAGGGCACACATTTCCCGTAAAAACGTCAAGGGCAGAATTCCTCAAATTTTATTTGCAATATGGAAAAATGTAAAAGATATGTCTAGGTGTATGGGAAATTATGAAGATATTGTCCAGGCACCACTGCTTGGCATACTTGCACTATTTCAACTTATATAACAGTCAGAAGAATGAACAACCAAAGAAATGAATTCCTCTCCAAAAACCAGGAAAAGCCTGATTTTTGCCGACAGATGTTTTTGAGATTACTTGTCTAGTATTTAACTTATCAAGACTGACATAGCTAAATCATATGGTTCAAATTTTGGCGTTCTGTAGCTGGAAAACTTTAAATGATTATGCAGGTTCTGGAGCGACAGACTGGCGCCAGGAGAGAGGCGGGAAACATGTGCAGTGCTTGACAAAATCTGGAAAAGATGCCATTCGCCCTCAGAATATGAAACACATGTTGAGGAATCTCAGCCTAGGTCTGGGTTTCTTCTGACTGGGACGGCAGCTCAATCATACATTGCCCTGATGAGTTTACTGGTGTTCACAAGAAAAAACAAACACTCACTTAAAACGTGTTACAGAGCTAGCTGTAACATCATGGCCAGCTTTAAAGGGCTACCAAAAACATGACAAGAGATGCATGATAGGCGCAGGCACATAATAGAATTCCTCACACCTTCACCATTGTGGAGGTCCTTCAGCTGAAAATTCTAATTGGATTCTGACAATATTATCATTATCAATCACGCTATATATGTCATACATAAATGAAAATGGATAAATCAAGACTTTCATAAAAATATCTGTTACACGTACACTTGAGTAGGCAAGGTGTCTGGGGTGTTACATAAATATTGACAGTTATGATTTTATAGAGATGAAATACAGAAGTGTTGTGATTTTAATAGATAAAAACACTCGGATTTCTGTTGTCTTTGAAAATTGTTGACCTTGAAATAAATATGAAAAAATAAACTTTATAGCAAAAACAGTATGAAAACAAACAAAATTGAAGGTATAGCCAGGTCAAAAGAGGCAATTCTAAAATAATTATTTCAAAGGAAATTCAAAATCTTTAATATTTATTAATAAGGATTTAAGTGAAATAAATTTCCAAAAACTTTGTACAAATATGGACCCCAAAAGACAACCTTGACCTCTTTTAATGACCAAGACAATCACATTCTAAAACTAAAGTCAAAAATAAACAAACAAACAAAATTGTATAGTATGACTAAATGGGTCCTTGAAATGATTTTGGGCCGATGATCAAAAGAGGCTTAAAAATATTCTATAACACATGAAATTGCTTATCTGTGCCCGTTTCAGTCAGCTTTGACTTTTTATAAAGGAAATTAGTTGAAATATAAATATATTAATACTTAAATATGAAGTGGAATGATCATTTTTATATCATCTAGCGTTTCCTCCCCCAATTTGATTGATTGATTGTATACTGTTTAACGTCCCTCTCCAGAATATTTCACTGATATGGAGACGTCACCATTGCCGGTGAAGGGCTGCAAACTTGGGCCTATGCTCGGCACTTATGGCCTTTGAGCAGGGAGGGATTTTTATCGTGCCACACCTGCTGTGACACGGGGCCTTGGTTTATACGGTCTCATCCGAAGGACCGCCCCATTTAGTCGCCTTTTACGACAAGCAAGGGGGTATATAACCCGGATCCCCACGGTTGTCCCCCATTGCAAGACAGCCAAGACAACCTGGTTACTTCAGTTGGGATGTTTGGCCCTATTTATTTAGGTACTTAGGGAAAAGTGAAAATTAATGTTTTAAATGGAAACTTTATTACCAGAGACATTGCAAAAAAAAAACCAGTATTACAGGAAACAAAAAGTATGTTTACAGTAATATTAACATATTTTTTGTTAAATAACATGATTTTTTAATTGGTCAGGAATCGATACACTTACCAAGATTGTCAGTTTAAGTTTATATTCCCAAATAAAAATATTTGATGGTTTTATTTTTGGGCCTATGCTGCCTTGGAAGGACTTGTGTAGACCCTTTATCAGTGGGACCTTTGGACCCACAGAAAATAATTCCGAATTTCGAACACTGGATTTACTGCCTCTCCAATACAACGCAGTTAATAAAACATGTCCCCATGTACAGAAAGATTATTACATGATTAAAATCTTGGTAAAAAAAAAATGCCTTACAGTGTATGATAGTAGTGCTTTCTAGTTCATTACTTTGTGTATAAAACTACTTTTTAAATTACGGCTACATGTACATTTGTACAAGTATATATGATTGATCTATTGAATATCAAGCAACAACCCCCTCATCCAAAAAAAAAGTCGCCAAACAATCAATAACACATTTATCATAGATTTTTTTCCCTATTATTTTATACTACAGATGTCCCACGTAAAATAGGAATGTGTTTTTATAAAAAGCAACAGTTTTCAATCATATCATTAGTAAAAACTTTTTTTCTAGGACAATTTCCTATAGGAGAGTATGTTTTTAACCCTGATTTTCAATTTTTTCTGCTTCTAAGGAAAGAAGGGAAAAATGATCCCCAAATAAAAATTTAACACAGAAAGAAAAGCTCTCATTTTGGATTCATTTTAACTTTCACTTGTAGATTGTTGCAGCAATGAAGATGGAGAGCTCATAAGAGCATTTGGTCCAAAATCCATCTCTAGAAGTAAGCTAGCTGTCCATTCTTTACCCATTTTTTCCCTATCTTAACAAGAACTTTCCATCACAATATAAATCTTACCTATTTTGTTTTTTTCTCAGGTATGTGGTGCTGATTACAAAGAAGAGGGTAATAAATGAATTAACTAGGTCATATTGAACCAATCATGTCATTATATGTAAAAAGTGATAATTTTCTAAGTAATGTCAAGTTTAATCCCATAGACTGGATTGGACAGTAAAAATGAGGACTCTTTGTCCCAATTGAATTATCATGATAACACTCATGTAGCTTCCATTGGTAACAATATGACATTTAAAAGCTACCTTTCTCTTCATTATATACCTGAATTTAATTGTTATTTTTCTGATTTTAACCTTCAGCTGGTATTTTTTTCCCTGAAGAATCTTTCTAAGGTGTTTATTAAAACACCTTTTAATTGGTATTTCAATTGGAAAATAATAAATTAATTACTCCGTATTTTGTAATTATACTCTAGTTTCCTTAGCCATGCAGGTTTTGCTAAAATATCCACACTGAAATTTCTTGTACAATTTCTTTTTTTTTTTTGATTAATAAGAGCTCAAGCATTTTATAAATGATACTTGATTGCTAATACTCTATCTGATTATAACCTAATGATGTGTCACTATAAAAGTGTGACCTCAAACGACCTAAATTAATCAAGATCACACTAGGTGTCAAATGTTTACGGCACTCATTCAGAGCAGACAAAACAATCTGGAGTGATACTTAGCCCTCAGACTTCAGCCTCGGATGACACAGGGAGACTGGGCTGGCTCTCACCAAGGGAGCACTCGTAAATACAAAGTGTGAGAAAAAGATCAGAGAAGTGCTGTCTTCATGAATTCCAATAATCAATTAAACATCAGTAAAATCTCAAAGATTCAAATGCTAAAGCATGTGGAGTTGAGGAGGTAAACAGATGCAGGGAGAAAAGGCTGGCGCCAAAGTGATACAGAAAAAGATATACATCCCTGGAGATACAGAAGACAGACCTACAAATAGACAGGGTTGTCTTGTGTTCCGTATACACAAAACAGCCAGCTGCAGCCTCTTACAGGGCTATATAGATAGGGCATGTTGAAAGCAAACACGCACCTGGTTTGTTTAAAGTTCACGGAATGCTATCAAGAGGTGTTCGAAGCGACTGTGAACATTTCTGTCTTATCTCTCCATGGAGAACGTGGGGTGGGTGGTTTATGTACATCACAGCCAATCAGACGAAATCTTAAGTTAGCCTCTCATGATCAGGGGACATCTAAATTGGGGAACTCTTTTTATACTCTTTTAAGTCAGTTAAAAAATTCAACCAAATAAAACTGTAACAATTTATGCAGTAAATATGACCTAGCTATTTCACATTCACAGAAGTCAGAAAGAAACTTAACTGGCTGTATAAAATTCCATTAGATCTGTATGATTCTTGATAAGTCTAGACAACTAAATACTGTTTTACTCATAATGATTTTAACCAGTTACATAAATATGTTTTATCTTTAGAAATAAGATACTTTGGGTTTTACAGAAATCTCCAGGACAATTTAACAATTTAAATGACAATTTAACATTTTTTTTTTCAAAGAGCTTTTTATAAAATATATGCCCGTGCAGATACACCTTATTTAACAAATTCCTTAATTCCATTTAAAGAGCAACATTAAGGAATTAATTTCAATCTGTGGCAACTTGCATTCACCTTAAGACAAAAAACAACAACAAAGCTATAGAAGTGGAAATCAAAGTGCCATATGCAGCTAAAGCCAATGTTTGAAGTTAAAGAATCTGTCACAGCAAGCTGGGAACCAATCCAGGGAAAAAATAACTAACCATTAGAGAGAGGCCTGGCAACGACAGGGGAAGAGGAGAAAGCGAAGACAGAGTGATGTCCCCTGCTGCTGAGCTAGGCTGGATCTGACACCATTAATAAATCTTGTCCACATTCCTCCACATTGGCTGTCTATCACAGACACAGTCATAATTCACAGCTTTAAACTACTTAGAATCTATATGATAAGTAGCCTTCACTAGGAATTGAGAATAAATAGACTTCAATGCGATACTGTACTACAATGAGTACTTTTCAAAGGTAAATATTCGAGCTGTTACATTTGCA